TTGCCCGTATGCTGTTGTTTTCGTTTTTAGTTTCCCCCCCCCCCCCCCAAGTTGCTCTTCGAAATGGTATTTTAGAGCTTTCTTTCTTAGAGGTCATTCGACGTGCCATGACGTTTCACACACAGCGTCCCAGGATTGCATACTTGCTGTTTTCGTTTCTCTCTCAAACATTTGAGGCGTGCTGGGGCGAGGCCCAAAGTTACAAAACTTTGGATGCTTTTTCGACCAGGTGCATCCGGAGGAGTCCAACGCTTTGAATGTATAGGGTCCGAAAGCGTCCAGATGCATGTAAACTGTTGTGTAGTGGAGCGGGGCCCTATGCCTGCTTGATAAACTGATGCAACTTGTGCCTGTGATTCTCTTTTTTTGGTGGCGACTACACTCTATTCTGCAAAGTTTTCCAGACTGTCTCTGGCAGGCTGTCCTGGTGATTGAGTTTGATGCCATTCATTGTGTGTGGGGAGTGGTCTTCCATACACCGCGCGGGTGACTCTCTCTCAGTAATCGCCCGACGAGTGGTTCTGTTAACAGACTATCGATGACCGGTGGTTTGGCACAACGTGTCTCTTTACTCGTTTGCTTTGTGTGCAGGTTGAAGGCCTAGTTTTGTTGATGGAGAGCGAGCACACCGGCCCGTTCAATCTGGGTAATCCTGGGGAGTTCACAATGCTCGAGCTGGCAGAGGTGAGGCAAAGCTTGCTAATCTCAACCTGACTTTGCCATGGTCTCTTGATGATAAGATTAGCCTCGACATGCACATCACAAGACTGATGATATGGTTCATGACTGACACTTTGGGAGCTTGTGAACGGTCTCTTCAGCTTGTGTGACCTTCGGCAATTTCCCTTACAGTACAAGAACTGCCAATGTAAGAGATTTTGAACCTGGGCCATGGGGTCCTACCGGGCACAAGTGGCCCAGATCGTCGCGTCAATGTAACAAAGTTTGAATCTGGGCCATCGGGCCCTAGCAGTCAAACTGCCCAAATTGTTGAGCAGCCTTGCAATCTTGCCTCGATCTGGCCCGTCAGCCCGGTACTACAGGCCCAGTGGCTGAGACTAAAACTGAGTGGTTCTACAGCCTGTGTCCCCCATTGATCTGCTAACTCTGAGAGAACGGTGTCTGCCAAAGCAGCTGCAGAATGCCATGGCTCCAAAGTTGCTGCGCCTGCGCCTTGCTCTGCCTCGACCCTCTCGCTTTCTGGTTGGCCGCCATCTTTGCGGCATGACCCCCGTGCCATGTGCTCAAGGCCACCACACTAACATGTCTGCAACTGCCCCACGGCCTATTGGCTCTCCAGGGCACGGACTAAAAGTGGCCCTGGAGAGCCAATAGGCCGTGGGGCAGTTGCAGACATGTTAGTGTGGTGGCCTTGAGCACATGGCACGGGGGTCATGCCGCAAAGACGGCGGCCAACCAGAAAGCAAGTCTTAGAGGGAGTTCTCTCTTTCTTTTTTCTTTTCTATGTTGGACTGATGCCGCCAGCCAAAAAGACCCAGTAGGCGAATCTGGGAAAGCCGAGGTGTGTATACGGCGGAGTCGGAACAAGTAGCTGGTGTGTGTAACTGGTGGTTTAAGGTTCTTTACGTCAAACAATCATTTTTCTTGTTGTTGGAGCCGACTTGGCTATGCTCCATGTTCTTGTGGATGTGTTGGA